TTAAAAATTGCATAACGTCTCTGTATGTGCTTCGTTTTTGATGTGTTTTATTACCATGAGTAGCTATTAACGAGATCTACAACTTACGTTTAGACTCCGTCGGCAAATTTTGAATTTTTTTTAAAAGTTATATTTTCACAGGCTTAGACTGTTAAAGCCCGTGCAAAAATCATAACTCTCTCAAACGATATTCATTCACGAATATCTTTATATCGATGGATAGGTATGGACGGGATATTCAACTCTAATTTAGATTATATTTCCTAACAATCGACCGATGTTAAATTAAGTTTCTGTGACGCACACTAGTACGCTAAAACTTCGAAAAATCACAACTTCCTCTTATTAAGTCAGATTGGATGTTCTCTATATGCACATTTTCGGTTTAACAACTACTATGACCTTCATTTAGATCGCTTAGGATTAAACTTGATTTATCAAATATTCAGTTTTTACGATACACAGAGTCACATCAGTTTAATCACGAAACTTCGAAGAAGCATAACTTCTTCATACGAAGTCGGATTTACGCGTTCTATATATCTACGAAAATTGTATCGACGTTTCTTCCTTTTCTATGATGATTACTTAAGATAAGTAGTAATATATTTCTACTTAAAATTTTATAAACAAGATTTCATCCCCGAAATCCTGCTCCTTGTGCACCTAGACGCGGAGTTATCGAAATCTAGTCGATGTTTTTGCATCTATACGTCTCACAAAACTTCATTTTCTACCTTAGACGTACTACTGAGCTCCTTGCTTGTCGGTTGGGACTCTCTTAATTAATATTTTACCATGAATGGTTACCTTCAGACATGAAATGTTGATTCGTTCTGTAGACTAGGAACACTGTTGACTTGTCTTAACGCAAGTAACTAGGAAAATTTATCTATAAACTCCTAGTGGAAATCACTTTCAAGAATGTGCCTTTATGAAATTCTTACAATCTACTGTTTTGACTTCTTTTCCTATGATATTTTTCTATGACGTACCCTTAAACCACTTATGATCTTATATTGTAGGTAGCTTATCTGCCTACTTCAGGTGTCCTAGCAACCTGAAATTTAACTAACGGGTTTACTAAATCCTTACTATGGTTTGAATTAAATTTCTAAGTCGTGTATATGTCTTGAGTACTTAACGCTTTTCATAGTTATCTACGCGGCCTACTGAATTTCTTATTTACTGATCCTTTACTGCGAGGATAAATCCTACATCCTACGAATGTATCGGGTCCTCTTATATTTCTGAGCCGTATCCATGAATTTGGTAATTTCCTAAATCGTATTTGATGCTAAGGAGGAAAGACCAAACCTTTCCTTAAGAAGCAAGAAGCTCACAACCTATGGATAATCTTAGCAGGAGAATTTTGTGGCCCTAAACCTAAATGAAAACTTTTATCTATTTGGGTCGTATTCCTTATGACGAATCTGAAATTAACAATCTCCACCTAATTGTGATGCCACTCCTATACTTTGGTGTGGAAGCCAAAATTCAGGCTGCTCCTCATACTTCTTCCTTAAGGGTTGGTCCTCCCCCACTTGAGTTCGACCCATTATCTGCTACTATTTGTTACTGATCAAAGCTTAAGTTGGCTATTCTTAGTAGTTACTTTTTTCCTTTGAATAAACTCATGTTTGTCATATCCAATGTCCTTCAATATTCCTATCGTACTACTACTACTTGTATTCTTCACAAGTGACTTCCTTAAAATAGGATAAGCATAAGTTGTTTGGAAATATACTAAAGCATATATTTAACTATCCTTAACACGAACAAACAGGTGTAAAGTAAACTTCCCATATTTATTATAATATTGTTGTCGTACATTTCTTACAATATTTTAAACCTAACAGTACTATTGACTTATGTGACGTAATCTCACTCATTTTGGAGCTTTCCCTCGATCAGAAGAACAATCGGCCAAGTTCTTCGGTGCTTCTATTGCTTCCTCTGTTATGAGTTGAAACGCTCACCATTTGACCCTTGGGGCTTCAACTCCGCCTTATTTTCCACCGGTCATCCTTAATGTTGCAGGTGTTGGGGCTTATGTCGCGCATGTTGGGTTCAGAAGAGGACAGTTGGTCTTGATATGGCCCATTTTGTTGCAGTGGAAACATATGCGCATTCCCTGTACTCCTTGCTTACAGTCTCGACTGTAATGTCCTTTCTTGATGCAATTATACCATATTATAGCACGATAAATCCCTTCGTGTGATTTTCCAAACTTATCAAACCTTGGATCTTTTGGCTGCTGGCTGTGATGGAGTTAGGGCCCTTTCTGTGAACATCTTGGTGATCTCGGTCACCAACTACGTTGTTTGCCTAAGCGACAAGTATTCCTGAATTAGTCACTCCCTCTCTACAAGTGGAACATACTCTTCCCTAATCTTTTCCACAAACTGTTCCCATGTCACTACGCTCTTCTTAGTGGGCAAATAGTCTGTTGTGATAAAATTCCACAAGGCTTTCGCCCCATGGCGGAGATGACTCTGCACATACCTGAACTTTCCGTTAGATGGGCAAGCATAAGTGTAGAAGCATCCTTCTACATCGGAGATCCACCAGTTATTAAACTCCCTATAGGGCATCTCCTTCTCCCTATCCGAGGCTGCGATAGCAACAACAGCAGTGGTTGCCGCAACGATGGTGCGAGCTACGGCAATATATCGTTCGTCAAACATGGAAATTAGTTCAGTCTAGATAAATTTGAACATCTCTGGAATGTCAGTCTCACTTGCCTCTGATCCAGAACCTAAACAGCTTCCTCTTGTGATCATTACCATTCTGGAGATACAGATGGGGCTAGATTTATACGAATTTATAAACTATTTTGGTGTAACGATCGATCCTTTCCAGCTTCTTAATAACCTTTTTAATCTTCCTAATTCAAGTTTGAACCCTATATGTCTAGTAGTACGTACCCTTCTCTTTATTCCTCTCTCTCTCTCTCTCTCTCTCTCTCTCTCTCTCTCTTTGCCGATTTTTTAGCGAAGAAAACCATCGACATCCGTCGAGCGCTGCCTTGGGCCACCGTAGAACCACCACTGCCAATCATTGAACACCGCCTGGTGCCCTCCAACCTCCGGCAACAGCCTCTGGGAGCAGCGAAGCTGCCCTTTTCCGAAAAAAAAAACTCTGGCAGGAACCACCTCCATCGACAGTTCCGACCACTTTTCTGGCAAAACACTATATATTTCTGGTGAAACATTATTCATTTTTCAGCAAAGCACTATTCCAACGACATTTCTCGATGACCGTTACAACACCGTTTCAAGCTTCCCTCCTTAGACTATTTTTATAAACCAACATGGTCATTAAAGTGAGTTTCACAACTCCCTTTTTATAAGTTTTAGGATTACTGTGGAGAATACATGTAAAATGCGTATAAACTGATGCTTGTTTAAGCTTTCAAACTTATGCATTTGAATATATGTTATTGAACCTATACATTTGGATATATTCTCTTGAACCTATGCATTTATATATATGTTGTTAAACTTATGTATTTGAATATATGCCTATGAATTTATAAACTTATGTATACAAGTTTATACATATCACACAATGTTTACATGTTCATTACCTAAGTTCCATGACGTCGAAAGACTCATTCAATACTTAGAAGTTCTATGAATTATAACTGTTAATCTTAACGAGTGAGGGGATTATGTGTAGATCTATACAGGTTAACAACCCCACCTACGGTTGCTATCTTCAATCTTGATGGTCGAGTAACTATACGTGATAATTGTCTTTTCATATTACGACGTCCAATGAAGCGTCGAGATAGGCACATCTATTTATTTGTATATCATTTATAAGTACTCTTTGTAACAGTGAAGGGTGATTAATTCACTAATAAAACTTATTCTTGGAGTCACAAGCACCTATAGATCAATAATGTACTTTTATTAAGTAGCCTAGTGTGAGGCAATCTTATGTACTTCAAGTTATTGTACCTATGGACGAGTATCAATGTAATTTCTTTTAGTAATAATATTTCAACTATTATGTTATTTGTTGTGTATGTTCTATGTAACTCAATGGTTATGATTAATGATGTTGTCCCACCGCCGGGTGAATTACGCAGCCAGCTGGGGGTATGACAGATTGGTATCAGAGCTATTTGTCACATAGAACTCGTATCGTCCTAGAAGATAACAACCATAACTATCGGTCACAAAAATAGGTTTTATGCTTAAACCTAAGTACACAAACTTATTATTAATTAAATTACTTATTGATCTATTTATCGGAGTAGTGCCTAGGATAGAAACGTTAGCAAGGTTGTTGGATTTCAGAAAAACTATATATCGAAATGGTCCTGCCTACCGGACTGTCCTGATTGACTACCGGACTGTCCTGATTGACTAATCCTTGATAGTCATGAAGTATTAAAATAAAATTAATAATAAATAAATTCAAATTATATAAGAATATATAATTCAAAACACCGAGAACTCAAGTGTTCCTGGAAATGTCATAAATAACTATAAAAGTCACAAACTCAAGAATTTAGGTCAAATACCTTAACTAAGGTTAGTAAAGTACATGGACCGAATAACAAGTAAACGTAGACTGTACACGGAGGTTTAATTATATGCATACCACTACATAACTAAACTGGTATACTGTAGTTAATTAAAAACTAAACTTTGAGGGTTACAAAGATTAAATAAATAATATGGTGGCTCATGACGTTAAAAACTTCAAAATAAAGTAAACTACGAGATGAGGAGGAACAATCTGAAACTTTAAAATACTTAAACAATATATGCATTACGGATAGTCAGAAATTAACAACAACACACAAACATCAACCCTATATGGTGTTTTATACAGGTTATTTAACACAAAGATGTCTTCCCTACCACCCTAGATGATAACATTTGATCCTAAAGATGAACAGGTTGTTTTATACTCTCCTGAAGAGATGGTTCTATATTCACCACCTGATTCCCTTATTGTTCTGTTACCATTTCCCATGGAAACTAATGATGAGGAGGAACCATTTGAAAAAAGAAAAGGCCTCTGAGGAGGAAGAATCATGTAAAAAAGAAGAAGAACCCAGTAAGGAAGAAAAGCCTACTGAGGAATCCGCTAGTGAGGAAGAGTCTTCGAAAAAAGAAGAACCTATGCAACCCCCACCTTCTTTCCGACCCTACCGATCTAATCTGGGGGCTACAGTACTATGCATGAACACTCCAAGGAAGAAGATCCCACGACCCCTTCCTCAGAAGATATCACTCAAACCTGCACCAGACTCTCTATCTGCACTAAAGAAAACCCAAATATCATCTCGGAATCCATACCGGTTTACCAATATACTGCAGGAGTGCAGGAATGATAAGGTAATTCCCTCAAGGTATGAGGTGGATGAGCTATCTCAGGCTCATCCACCCATTCCTCTCACAATAGAGCCAACATATAGCACCGTACCCTTATTTTTGGTACGAAGTTCTCGTCTTGGGCATCAAATTCGATAACTTTATAATGAGACGGGTACGACTGAGGATACTACTGTAGCCCTAACTAGAAGGGTACTAGACATTGAAGAAGGTCGCTACCTTGACTACCATGCTCTTCACCTAATGTATCACAGGCTGGGAGCTACACATGGAAACACGGGATATCACAACATCAGGATCTCGAAAGTAGAATATAGGACCCAATATGGAGAATAGAGGGTGACAGCAGAAGAGAACATGGTAGTGGTGGCGGAAAAAAGGATGAACTCAACACAGGGACATCTTGTTGAGCTATTAGACGTACTAGCTTCTCACTCTGTACATTAGTAAACCTACTATGGGTGGGTTTTTCCGTAGTAGTAGCATAGTATTAGTATAGGGATAGGAGGGAAAGGCTTGTAAAAGTAAGGTTATGTAACATTGCTTACTTTTTGGGCATCTTCTTTTGGGAAACTTTGTATAGAGATTTCTGTCCGTAATACCCTACATATTTTGGGCTTTTGCGGCAAGCTAGGACTTGTGTTGTATAACAATAATATATATATATATATATATATATATATATATATATATATATATATATATAAGGGTTGGCTAAAAAGACACCCCAATTTTCGATTTACACACCCTATTTGATTTTTAAGGTTTTTTTATTGGTTGAATTTACATTGTTTTTTGAAAAAGTTAATTATAAATAGTTTATTGTAGGTTAACTTTTAATAAAAGTGTTTATAGGGTGTCTAAGATTTATTATAAACATATATATATATATATATATATATATATATATATATATATTGGGAGGAACTGAGGATTACCGTGTCAAGTTTGCCACCTGTACATTTCTTGACGATGCCTTTTCTTAGTGGAATGGTCATGCCAAGACTCTGGGCATCAACGTTGCATATGCCATATCTTGGGAGGAACCGAAGGAAATGATCACCAATGAGTACTGTCACATAAACGAATTGCAAAACTTGGAAGAGCAATTATGGAACTTGACCATAAAGGGAGCGAATATTATAGCCTACACCTCCTGATTCAACAACCTCTCAACTTTATGTCTGGGTTTTGTAACTCTAAAATACAAGAATATTGAGAGATATATTTAGGGACTAGTCCCATAGATTCAGGGAATGGTTACTACCTCCAAACGCGACACCTACGACGGTGCCAATAGATTGGCCGGTAGCCTAATGGATCAAGCAGCCCGTCAAGGAACCTTGGTCAAGAAGGTTGATACTATGAGGGTTGGGAATAACAAAAGGAAGTCTAATAGTGGTTCCAAGGGAAACTCAAGACTCTATAAAGGTTTATGCTGCAATAACAACCACCCCACAGAAGCATTATACGGTAAATCACCTATGTGTTACAAGTGCAAATACCACCATCTCGGTGCATGCACGAAGTTCTTCTGCCAAGTACTTACAACAAACCCTGGAGCAAGTACTGGTGGAAACATGGGTTGTTTTGAATGTGAAGAACAAGCGCATTTCAAGAGCGATTTTCCGAAACTCAAAAACCAGAGAGGAAATGATCATGGCAGGGCATTTGTGATAGGCGTAAGGGACACACTCCAAGACCCGTCAGTGGTGATTGGTACGTTCCTTGTTAGAAATTTGTATGCAACTGTGCTATTTGATTCGGGTGCTGATAAGAGTTTTATATCCAATAAGTTTAGACACATGATAAGTTAAAAAACTGGTAAACTTAAAGAATCCTATACAGTAGAAGTGGATTTTGGCCAGTCCGAAACTATTTACAAAGTCTTAATAAATTGCATCCTAACTCTAAACAGTCACACCTTTCACATAAATCTCATGCATATGACAATCGAAAGCTTCGACGTAGTAGTCGGCAGGGATGGGTTGTCACCTCACCTAACCGAAACCTTGTGTTACGAGAAATTTGTTCGACTACCCTTACCCAACGAAGAATCCCTTATCGTATACAGAGACAAACCAGGACGAAGTATTAAAATCATCTCATGCATGAAGGCTCGTAAGTATCTACACAAGAAGTACTACGCTTTCTTGGCACAGACTGTCGATAAAAGAATCAAAGACAAGAGATGAAAGACATACCTCAAGTGTGTGACTCTCCTGATATATTTCTAGAAGATCTACCTAGGTTACCTCCAGTCAGACAAGTCGAGTTTCGAATCGACTTAATCATAGGGCAGTGCCTGAAGCAAAGTCTCCTTACTAATTAGCACCATCCGAGATGCAAGAATTATCCAGAAACTCCAAGAACTACTTGAAAAGGGATTTATTAGGCCAAGCTTCTTGCCTTAGGAAGCTCCTATTTTATTTGTCAATAAGAATGATGGATCTTTCTGAATGTGCATTAATTTCTGGGAGTTACCTAGTTATCCATGAAGAACCGGTATCCACTCCCGAGAATTGATGACTTGTTCGATCAACTCCAAGGATCTAGCTACTACTCAAAGATCGATTTGAGATTAGGATACCACCAACCGAGAATACACGAATAATAAATTCCAAAAATAATGTGTAGGAATTGTTATGGTCATTTCGAGTTCCTAGTTATGCCCTTTGGGCTAACCAACGTACCAAAAATTTTTATGGACCTCATGAACCGTGTATGAAAACCATACTTGGATAAAGTTGTTATATTATTCATCGACGACATACTGATACACTGAAAAACCAAGCATGAACACAGATAACACTTGCAACTAATCTTGGAACTGCTATGAAAAGAGAAATTGTATGCCAAATTCTCTAATTGCGAGCTCTTGATTACAGAAGTACACTTTCTAGGCCAGGTAGTTAACAACAAAGGAATTCACGTCAATCCATCAAAGACAGAGGCAATAAAGAATTGGAAAGAACCAAAGATACCAACTGAAGGTCTTTAAAGATGTTGTAGGAGATTCATAGAAAACATCTCCAAAATAGCCAAACGCCTCACAACAATAACACAAAAAGACAAGAAGTTTACTTGGGAAGACAGACAAAAATCTGTATTTCAACAATTGAAGCAGATGTTGCGTTGTACCCCAATTCTATCTCTCCCAGAGGGAACATATGGCTTTGTCGTGTATTTCGACGTATCACGCCCAGTGTTGTAAAACTCGCCGAGTTGGCCAATTACTCCTCCGAGTACTCGTTACTTGGCCCCTTACCGAGGCGAGTTACAGAATCCCGAGTACTCCCCGATCGACCCCTTACTGAACTGAGTAGTGTTGTAAAAATCAGTTAAATCGGTGATTAATATGTATAATATACTTAATAATTTATTATTTAACACACACAAATGTGATTATTACTACATCTATATCTTAAATTTTCAGTAATTATTCACAAGTGAGACCATTATGTGTTCTTTTAGTTTTTGTGTATTCACATGTATCTAATTTTGTTATATATTTCAATCAATTTATGATTTTAACTTATGATTTTGACATATATAATTTCCCTAAAAATATTTCTACATGAATTACCAAATCCGAGTACTCCCCGAGTACTCCTGAGTACTCCCGAGTACTCGCTACTCGGTAGTCAGCCGAACAAGTACCGAGTAACGAGTTCTACAACCTTGATCACGCCAAGGACTGGGTGGTTGTGTTGATGTAAAGAGAAAACGTTTATTGCCTATTCTTCATGAAAACTAAAGGTACATGAAAACAACTACAATACCCATGATCTAGAACTGGAAGTTGTATTTTTTTTCCTTGAAAATTGAGACACCGCCTTTATGGTACAAAGTGTACCATCTTCTCTTATCACAAGAATCTCCAACACATCTTTGATAAAAAAAAGAACTCAACATGAGACAATGAATGTCGATAAAATTAATGAATGATTATGAATGTGAAGTTCATTATCACTCTGGCAGAGCAAATACCATAGAGGATGTGTTAAGCAGGAAGGAACGAACAAAACCCCTCCAAGTACGGGTACTAACCATGATGATTCATTCAAATACCACCACCCAAATTCGAGATGTGCAACTTGATGACCTAAGGGAATAAAACATTACAAACGAGTCCTTGTAAGGTGTGGATAAGCAATTCGAACTCAATGATGACGGAACATGATGCTTCATGAACCGGATTTGACGCCAAAATTTTGTGACTTTAGGATCTTAGTTATGGATGAAGCATATAATTCAAGATATTTTATCCATCTTGGCTCTAACACAATGCATCTAGATCCGAAAAAGCTTTATTGGTGGTAAAAAATGAAAGCATAGATTGCTACTTATGTAAACAAGTTCTTGACTTGTTCTAAAGTAAAGGTAGAGTACCAAAAACCTTCTGGATTGCTGCAATAACCCGAGATACCCGAGTGGAAGTGGGAACAAATATCTATGAACTTCACAACAAAATTACCCACGATATCGAATCGATATGATACTATTTGGGTGATTTTCCATCTTCTAACTAAGTTCGCCCACTTCCTTCCCATCAAACAAACAGACAAGATCGAGAAGTTAACCATAATATATTTAAAATAAATCGTCAAAATGCATGGACTACCTATATCTATAATCCCTAAATGAGATAGCAGCTTCACCTCGCGACTTTGGCAAACAATACCAAAGTCTTTGGGGACGCGACTAGATATGAGCACAACTTATCATCCCTAAACTAATGATCAAAGTGAAAGGACCATCCAGACTTTGGAAGACATGCTTTGCGCCAATGTGATAGACTTTGGAATTGCTTGGGATATTCATTTTCCTTTTGTAGAGTTTTACTACAATAATATTTATCTCACCAGCATCAAAGTTGCATTGTTTAAGGCCCTTTATAGATGAAAATGTTGATTGCCAATATGTTGGGCATAAGTAGGTGATAGTCAACTGGTTAAGAAACATGTGGGAGATACACTTCTTACTGCCCCCGAGATCATTCACGAGACGACTGAGAAGATCGTCCAGATAGGAAATAGGATAAAGGTTATTTGTGATCGTGAGAAGAGTTATGTTGACGTGAGATGTTAGCCTTTGGAATTCCAAGTTGGAGACATGGTAATGTTGAAAGTATCCAC